AAGAACGTGTACTCAAGCTTGGCAATTTGCATGTGTCTGGCCGCTATCGGCTCCTACGTCTACATTTATCTGGTCGCACGCCTGGTTACAGTGAGTGCGGTGTCCCCCCTCGCAGTCCTGGGGTTGTTGATCTGTCTTGCGGTGGCTACCCTCACGTCACTGGGGTTGTTTATCTGGTTTGCCATGACCCCCCATAACCCTGAGACAGAAAGGAAAAGACTGGCTATCCTCGAAGGATTTGCCTTGCTCACAGGTTTTAGCCTTGGACCCATACTGGACAGTGTCATCGCCGTCGATCCGAATATCATCGTGACCGCCTTCGTCGGAACCTCTGTGATTTTCATCTGCTTCACTCTCAGCGCCTTGTGCGACACACACAGGAGCCACCTATTCCTCCATGGCACACTCATGTCCGGCTGTTCTATTCTGTTCCTGGTGTCTCTGACGAACGTGTTCTTCGGATCTACGCTTCTGTTTGAGGCGAACACATACCTGGGACCGCTCGTCATGTGCGGATTTGTCCTGTTTGACACTCAGCTCATTATCGAGAAAGCGGAGAACGGGGACAAGGACTACATCTGGCACTGTTTGACCTTGTTTCTAGATTTCATTAGCATTTTTAGGAGACTGCTGATCATCCTTTCCAAGAAGGAGAAGGACAAGAAGACTGTCTCTGAACGTATTCTGTGCAAGATAATAAAAAGTGTACAAATGATGTATGGGTTTGTTCATGGTTTTTATTGTCGACAATAAACACAGACTACAACATTTCATGTGAGTTGTTTGTACGCTTGTAGAATGGGATTATGCTAGAGAGCAAGTTAATACAGAGCGCCGCGTCTCGCTTTAGCCGGCGTTCTGAGGACTTTGCGATTCCTCAGCTGCAATACGTTGATGTCGTCGGGTTCAGCGACGATGGCTGGCTTGTCAGCAGTAACGGTGCTCTGAGAGGCAGCTTGGTTCAGCTGCAATGCGTTGGTGTCGTAGGGCTCGGCGATGGCTGGGTCCCCTGCGGTGCCCGTGCTCTGGGAGGCAGTTTGCTTCACAGCATTGTCAGCCGCATCGGAGGCCATTAGCTCTGCGCCCAGAGCGTATAGGCAGATATAGCCCGTTACCTCCGCCATGATATTCCAGACCGGGTCGATGTCCACAACACCTCGTCTCAAGACGCGAGCGCTCTCGCGGGGACACTTAGCAGTAGGCTCGACCTTGACTCTCACTGTGAAGTCGTGGTCCATTTCAAGAGTGAACCACATCTCGTAATCGTCCTCGGCCAATCCCACATTGTCGTGGCCTGCGCATTTGGAATCGCCGAAGCCTCGTGTAACTTGTCCACAAACCTTGCTATTGTCCTGGCGGTGACATACAAATCCTTGGCGTACTCGGCATGGTCGACGGGGTGTTCGTGCACGTAACGGAGCATAGCCAGACACCATCTGTTGTTCCCCGTAGTACTCAGCGAATGTCTATACAGAGACATGTTAGACATCATGACCTTGAATGTGTTTTTTTTTTGTTTTTTGTTTTTTGTTTTTTTTTTGCCTGTCCCG